GCAAACATATGGATTCTTTCTTTAGCCAAAATGGCACTGAAGTTCTTATATTAAGCACTCAAGGGCACATGAGTATGTTCCAGTTTACTTTTGCTGTTAGGAAAACAGGTGAAACACAGTAAATTACTAAATGGTGTCTGAGGACCAGACTTCCAGGAGCCAGAGAATTCTATATTGGGCCTCTACATTTTACGTTTGGAAGTTTCCTAGTACTGCCTATAAAGATAATACCTATACCATAACCGTAAAATATGTTAATCAATAAAAAGTCATTTGACATTTTTGTGAATGAGGGCTCACTAATGGGAGAAAAGAAACCTCTACCAATATAAGATGGTGGAGAAAGTATAGGCCTACTCATTCCGATGTGTGTGAGAGTGTATCTGGGTATACAGTGGTATATGAAAGACAACTCAACTGATCAAATGTTTTGATTCTAAACAGAATGCTGTTGTCTCTCCCTTGTCTCTCAAATCTAATGTCATTATGGCCTTGATACAAAAATGTATTGATGAGAGATGATACAAAAATGTATTGATGAGAGATGAATACTAATTTCTCTAGTTAGAATAGAATGGGCAACTGTGGTAAAAAAAAATACAATGATTTGTTGAATCAGGTGTGTTTGTGCTGGGCTGGAACCCAAGCCTGCACATAGCAGCTCTCCAAGACCAGGAAGTGGGGATCAAGCTCAGGCATTGCATTGGCTTTACACCAAAGTAATTCCAGTAGAATAGTATAGGCTATATACATCTACATATGGATAGATGAATGGGTGTACTGAGTTGGGGATACCTTAATCTCTCGTGCACAGACTACGTAAACATAGAAGGAATGAATCATCATTCTCTTAAGGTTCTGCTCGCCTGAGTTAGAATATCTCATGATAAGCTGTAGACCATACTATTTTTCATTTATATTTTTCGTAGCTGTCTATTTACGACCTCAAACCGATGCTGGCACTAAGACCTCACTCAACAAGCTGAAAAAAAAAGATTTTGTAAGTCGCACTGGATAAGAACGTCTGCTGTTCTGTCTGCTGTGTTCTGGAAATTAATTAAAAAGAGCAAAATGTTTAGCTTTTTCCGGCCATAAGCAAACAAGAAAATGCTCATCCAGAGGCAGCACTCCTAGTGGCCAGTGATTTTAATGCAGGGCAACTGAAATCCGTTTGACCTCATTTCTACCAGCTTGTCACCTTTGCAACTAGAGGAGACAAAATTCTAGATCACCTTTACTCCACACACAGAAACGCATACAAAGCTCTCCCTCACCTCCATTTGGCAAATCTGATCATAACTCTATCCTCCTGATTCCTGCTTAAAAGCAAAAACTCAAACAGGAAGTACCAGTGACGTGCTCAATATGGAAGTGGTCAGATGAAGCGGATGCTAAGCTACAGGACTGTTTTGCTAGCACATGTTCTGGGATTCATCCGATGGCATTGAGGAGTTTACCACATTAGTCACCGGCTTCGTTAATAAGTGAATCGATGACATCATCCCCACAGTGACCGTACGTACACATCCCAACCAGAAGCCATAGATTACTGAGCTAAAGGCCAAAGCTGCTGCATTCAAGGAGCGGGATACTAATCCGGACGCTTATAAGAAATCCCGCTACGACCTCCGACAAGCCATCAAACTGGCAAAGTGTCAGTACAGGACTAAGATCGAATCCTACTACGCCGGCTCTGACACTCGTCGAAAGTGGCAGGGCTTGCAAACTATCACAGATTACAAAGGGAAACCCAGCCATGATGCAAGCCTACCAGATGAGCTAAATGCCTACTACGCTTGCTTCGAGGCAAGCAACATTGAACCATGCATGAGAGCACCAGCTATTCCGGACGACTGTGTGATCATGCTCTCCGTAGCCGATGTGAGTAAGATCTTTAAACAGGTTAACATTCACAAGGCCGCAGGGCCAGACGGATTACCAGGACGCATACTCAGAGCATGTGCTGACCAGCTGGCAAGTGTCTTCACTGGCATTTTCAATCTCTCCCTGACAAAGTCTGTAATACCTGCATGTTTCAAGCAGACCACAATAGTCCCTGTGCCCAAGAACGCCAAGGTAACCTTCCTAAATGACTATCGCCCCGTAGCACTCACATCTGTAGCCACATGAAATGCTTTGAAAGGCTGGTCATGGCGCACATCAACACCATTATCCCAGACACCCTGGACCCAGTCCAATTCGCAAACCGCCCCAACAGATCCACAGATGATGCAATCTCTATTGCACTCCACACTGCCCTGTCCCACCTGGACAAGAGGAACACATTTGTGAGAATGCTGTTCATTGACTACAGATCAGCGTTCAACGCCATAGTGCCCTCCAAGCTCATCACTAAGCTAAGGACCCTGCGACTGAACACCTCCCTCTGCAACTGGATCCTGAACTTCCCGATGGGGGCCCCTCATGGTTGCGTGCTTAGTCCCATCATGTAATCCCCATTCACCAATGACTGCGTTGCCACGCACGACTCCAACACCATCATTAAGTTTGCTGACAACACGATGGTAGTAGGCCTGATCACCGACGACAATGAGACGGCCTATAGGGAGGAGGTCAGAGACCTGGCAGTGTGGTGCCAGGACAACAACCTCTCCCTCAACGTCAATAAGACAAATGAGCTGATAGTGGACTACAGGAAAACCTCTCCCTCAACGTCAGCAAGACAAAGGAGATGATTGTGGACTACAGGAAATGGAGGGCCGATCACGCCCCCATTCACATCAACGGGGCTGTAGTGGAGCAGATCGAGAGCATCAAGTTCCTTGGTGTCCACATCACTAAGGATCTATCGTGGTCCACACACACCAACACAGTTGTGAAGAGGGCACGACAATGCCTCTTCCCCCACTGGGCTCCCGAGTGGCGCAGTGGTCTAAGGCACTGCATCTCAGTGCTTGAGGCGTCACTACAGAACCCCTGGTTCAATTCCAGGCTGTATCACAACCGGCTGTGATTGGGAGTCCCATAGGGCGGCGCACAATTGGCCCAGCGTCGTCCGGGTTTGGCCGGTGTAGGCCGTCATTGTAAATAAGAATTTGTTCTTAACTGACTTGCCTAGTTAAATAAATTTAAAAGGCCGAAAAGATTTGGCATGGGCCCACAGATCCTCAAAATGTTCTACAGCTGCACCATTGAGAGCATTTTGACTGGCTGCATCACCGCTTGGTATGGCAACTGATTGGCATCCGACGACAAGGCGCTACAGTACATCACTGGGGCAGAGCTCCCTGTCATCCAGGACCTGTATACCAGGCGGTGTCAGAGGAAGGCCCTAAAAATTGTCAAGGACTCCAGCCACCCAAGTCATAGATTGTTCTCTCTGCTACTGCATGGCAAGCAGTAGCAGAACCAACAGAAACAGCTCCTAGCCTTAAGACAGCTAAATAGTTAATCAAATACTTACCCGGACTATCTGCATTGACCCTTTTTACACTAACTTTTTTGAGTCATTACATATGCTGCTGCTAATGTTTATTATCTATCCTGTTGCCTAGTCACTTTATTCCTATTTATATGTACATATCTACCTCAATTATCTCCTACCCCTGCACATTGACTCGGTACTGGTACCCCGTGTATATAGCTAAGTTATCGTTACTTATTGTGTATTTATTATGACTTTTATTATGACTTTTTTATTATTTATTGAAGTTCTCTCTCGGCATTGTTTGGAAGGCCCCGTATGCATTTCACTGTTAGACACACTACACACACTACACATGTTGTTTACGAAGCATGTGACGAATACAATTTGATTTGGTTTGAATAGATCAAGGATGTTGCCATGCTCAGACATGGATGACACCTTATTGGCCTCCCTCTGGCATGTGTAGCTACAACTCGTTTGGATCTGTGCCTGGCTACCACCTCTCACCAGCATGCCGCAAACCAGGAAATACATCAACAATGATGGCTATCCATACATAACATACTTTATGTCAATAATGAGGTAGTTTATCTCAATGTTAAATAAATGTTGTCCATTAAACCAACAATGGTCTCATGTATTGAGCACGGTTAAGCAAAATGCCAATCATGTGATAAAAGTCAAATCATTTGAATAATTTCAGTTTATATTATTTTAAGACATTTAAGTAAGACAAAGCGCGCAATACATTTGACTAAAGACGCAGGTTACTAAATCACATCTATTAGCCTAAGCAATATGCCTACTGTATACACAATATGCCATATATTAATTCTGGTAGGCCATAATGAAATAATTGAGCATTGTTTCAAGATAGAATTTATACATTTGTGCTGACATAAACTGGACTGATGGGTTGCCTAGAAATGACCCAGTGTCAATGTTGCCACTAATCTGCCCTGTCTATTTGACCAAATGGAAATAGCAGAAATAGCCTGTATGGTATTGGTTTGAATGGGTTCAGGTAACATCAGGTAACAAGACATCTACAGTACAGCACAGAAACATAACGAACAAATCAAGTGAAAATGCCAGTCAACTGTTGGTTGGTTGAAGAGAACAGGTACACCAATTTCTGTGACTGTTGACTGAACAAATAGAAGCTAATTGACTTTGACTTGAGATGGCAAAATGTACTACAGCTTCATTGTTTTATCAACTCAAATAATAATATATGTAGGCTATCATTGGCGCGAAATACCCAAGACCGCATTGAATTTCAATGTACTGTAAAATGGTCAATCAATTAGACGACCGGAGAGAGAGAGCATGGTCGTGTTTTGATTGGGCTAACCAGGAGACTCGTAATGTGCGGCAGTCCCATATAAACCCATGCAGACCAGCGCTCTGTCGGTCATGCACGTCAATAGAAATCAGTGTACAGTCCAGGGTAGAGGAAAAGCCGCATTGGGTAGATGGTGCCTACTTAGTAATAGATTTACATTGTTGAAAACACGGCGCTGTACATCTTCAGAGCTGTATGAACTATTAATCAGATAAGCAAGAAACACTATTCCTTGTATTTTGTTAGATCATCAGTGATTATTGAACAATGCCTTTGATGACCGGACTTTTTCTTCTAATGGTGCTGATTGCATCTGCATATGAACTGGATCAGAACGAGTCGTATTCACCCAGAAGAGCACGATTTTCTGCAAATACCCCTTGTAAGTAACAGTCTCTCTTACAATACAGCATGTTTTTGAGTGGATGCGGTGTTCGCACGGATTTGTATGGATTATTACTATTACGTTGTATACACAGTATGGGGGAATGTTTGCTATTACATGATATGCTGCTCTGTTTCCAAGTGAACGCCTTGATCGACAGACTACCGAATAGCTCCAACATAGCCTAGGCTACTCACCGTGCTTTACCGGTGTTTTACCGGCAAGGGATGAGCGTGAGCTTCGCGGTGACTGACACCTGTTTGTGAAAAAGCTGTAGCCTACCATCATGAGATGTTGAATAAATTGTCTATGAACGAATGGTCTTTGAATTTATGGTTGTGTGGGTTGCTTAAACACGAGATGACTGACCGGAGGATAGAACATGAGAAAGATCATCAGATTAATATTCATTTTAAGAGAGATTAGTTGATACAGGGGAGCCCACTTGTGTGGTTCAATGCATCAATTGTTATGTATTTGGTCACTGTCTTTACAGCATTATAAAACGATTGTTTTGCTTATACATTGTTTGTGTCAGTTAGCCTACTCTACAAGTAATTTTGTAAATGTCATACGTTAGTCTACCTGCAATGTTGTTTTACGTACTGTTTAAGCTTTTTCTAACCACCAAATGATCTACAGGTGTTTGGAAACAACTATGACCATCATATTTGAAATGTATTGGTATTCTTCCAAGCAGTCACCAGTGTAATGTATTGATAGTACTATTGCTGTAGGCAAAAACAAATACCGACTTGTGCGTGGTGGCATAGGCTCCGCCACTGCACCCACCTGTAGCTACTGGCTACCGGCGTCTTGACAGGATCAATGAAGCACCTAATACCGGAAGAAACGTGAAGGAAGTAGGGCTTTCTAGGTGACCGCAAAGAGGGTGGGGACATTAGAGTTTCTTTGGTGAAAGAATGCTGGCCATTGGCCAGGGATGATATCCAGATTCGAAGACTCATAGGGCACAAGGTGTCGCGCGACGTGCGTCCCCTACTCAAGCAGTAGGCTTGCTTTATCTCCCTTTTCAATGGTTTGCCAACTGTAACTGCCGATAGTATTCCCGTGCAATTACTAAAGTGAAAATAACATATTTCAACCGAGCACGGCCCCTGAAAAGAGGAAAGCTGTTGTATAGCATGATAAAAGCCATGGCCTAGGTCTACATTGCAGTGGGCTATTCACCACCAGGCATTCCATTCTGTTTACATTGGTTGCCAGAGGGATGGAGTAAATGCTCATGCACTCTATTTCCAAAATGTGTATGAGATATGAAAAAGTCACTTCTATTAACAGGCCCATAAAATTAGCAGACCAGTGAAAGCCAGGCCCATGTTCGGAAATATGAGTATGAATGAGGTGTTATCTCTGTGATCTCCTTAAGTCATTATTGTTATTTCAGTTAAATCCAATGCATTGGTTATATCAGACTAAGTATCTGCAGCATGGGCCTCCTTGGTCTTGCCAATAAGAGATACTGAAGGAGTGTGTATCTGTTGAAATATCATTTATTTATTTATTAATTCTCCCATGACCTGAGAGAAACAGTGGTGGGACAGTTCCATTCCGATTCATTGCTGATTTGCTAGTTCATTACAGGGTGGGCTGGACCAAAACATTTCAATGAGTGAGAGTGCATCCATCTGTGGCATACAGTACATCAGCTCATTGTTACAATTGCTGTATGCTGTTTACCATGAACTTGTCTTAGTCTTACTAAATGGACAATAGAGGCATTCATTGGAAGACATTTAGGGGTTTTCTGGTTACTTTAGATCTTTGTCAGAGTAGTTTACACAGCTGTGTATGTCAGCTTGCTCTTTAAAATTAAGTCTGAGGCAATATTTATGTAAAATATGAACATTAGGTCTATTTATGAGGAATGAGGCAGTGACTCAGGCCAGGGTACATGACTGTACTGTTAAGTGTGCACAGTGTCAGAGGTGGTTTGGCACACCTTCTAATTGAGCATGTTACTGTCTTGTTGCACGTGAGGGTAATGGAAACAAGGGGTCTTGTGCCAAAAGGGACAGTCAGCAGAACCTGATCCTGAATAGGCAACACTCACCACAGTGTATGTATATGTGTGTGTGTGTTTGTGTGTGTGTGTGTGTGTGTGTGTGTGTGTGTGTATGAATATGTTTATCATGCCATGACTCCTTTGGGTATTTTTGGTGTAGTTGGTCACAAGTCTGTTCCAAGAACCAAAATGCTAGAATATTCATAAAATTATTTGCCAGGAAGAGGAAATGTAATTATGCTAAATTGTGAACCAGTCTTAAAAAGTTTAAAGTGTCCAGTGAGCTGTCAAGTTGTAATTTGTCTGAATAATTATGATCTCAGCATTGAATCAGCTTTGCATGTAAATTATCACAACCAAAACAGACTGATTATCTTTCCATTCTTGTTGAGAGCTATATGATAGCCTGCCCCCTGCTAATGGTCCTTTCCCTCTCTGAGTCTACAGCTGACGTGGCACGCTGTCTGAATAGTGCCCTCCAAGTAGGCTGTGGAGCCTTCGCATGTCTGGAGAACTCCACGTGTGACACAGATGGCATGCACGACATCTGCAAGTCCTTTCTGTACAGTGCAGCTAAATTTGACACTCAGGTATGGTAATTCTTCCTCTCTTTTCAAATCTGACACAGTATGTCGCAGTAGATCAAACCTGTTAACTGAAGTTAAGTCATGTTTTTTGATATGACTGTGATATTATGTGGTTTTGTGCAGGGCAAAGCCTTTGTGAAAGAGAGCCTCAAGTGCATTGCCAATGGCATCACCTCCAAGGTGTTCCTCACCATCCGCCGCTGCTCCACCTTCCAAAGAATGATCTCAGAGGTTCAGGAGGAGTGCTACAGCAAGCTGGATATCTGCACTATCGCCCGCACCAATCCAGATGCTATTGGAGATGTGGCACAGCTCCCAAGACACTTCCCCAACAGGTTTGTTCCTAGCAAACCTGTGTCAAAGGGCTTCCATTTCAGTTTTTTTGCTTTATCTTAATACAACAAAAGCTATGTATTTGATACACTAACTCTGCTGAAGCAAATACATTTCAGTGGGCTCCTAAGACATTCGATAAAATTGCAACAACAAAAAAAAGAACTAACACTCACACTTTACTACTTTATTGAGGAAAAATGTACTTACTATGACTGAGATATGTGGTTGCTCCACCTAGCTATCTTAAGATGAACACCCTAACTGTAAGTCGCTCTTGATAAGAGTGTCTTCTAAATTGCTTAAATGCTTTAAAAATATATATACATATATGCACCATGCAGAAATCGCTCCACCATTTCCTGGTTGCTAAAATTCTAATAGTTTGCCTAATTTTAGTTTAAGTGACAAAACAAGCAAGTGTAATGTAGATTGTACCATCTAAACCACTGTGAAATATATTTTCCATAACCCAAAATATTGTATATTCAGCTGTTTGAAGCTGGTATACAAAACCAAAAGTAAAAGACAAATATTAAACTTAAAAAACGGGAAGCATAGAAATAGCGCACATAGAACAGATCTGCCTCTTCTTAGACTTGCTTTCAATGAGAATGACAGATCTATAACTGACATTTCTATGTGAATTTTGTCGGGTCACCCAAGAAGTTACACATTGCAGCTTTAAAATTAAAATAAAAAATTACAGCAACAAAAATACATGAAAGCTGCATCCTCTTGCAGGTTTTACGGTAAGCTCCTCCAGAGCCTGATGGACTGTGATGAGGAGACTGTGGACCTGCTGAGGGCCAGTATGGTGTCCAGGCTTGGCCCAGAGATGACCATTCTCTTCCAGCTGCTGCAGAACAAGCCCTGCCCCTCGGTTGCTGCTGCTGCTGTTCCAACTGGAGTGGAGGGCCGTGGGAGCTTGCGGTTGTCCATGGGTCCACACATGTATAAGATCCAGCCTGGTCTACGCAACAGAGACTCTGCCAGCCATTTTAGCAAGAAGCGTGCCACTGGTGACAGCTCCTAACTCCCACTCAGATCCAGAAACTACACACACCCCTCAAAAACATAAACAAGTCAACAGTGGTCTCTTCCCTTGGTGATTTAAGAATAATTCCTCTCCAGACTGAAAAATAACATGCACCTCTAAGAGAATACCCAATGTGTTTCAAGTATATTTTATATCAGAGTTTGAGTTGTTGTGAGATATACTGTACCTTAGGTTTGAGAGGATCCCCTCCCCTAAACTATTTCCTAACACTATCACTCACCCTGTTCATTGAACATGTTGTATTGTATTCTATTGTATCTCCACAACTTGGCCCTGTTCATTCCTGTTCACTCCCCACACTTGATATGAATCCTCTGAGAGCCTAGTGGGGATGATGTCCCTCTAAGCATTCTGTCTAGGATTTCAAGCACAAACTTGCAGGTATGGTTCATATCTATATAGCACAAATGTTCCCCAAAAAAGTTGGTTGCAGAATACAAATGTTCATCCATTATTATAATATCAATTGATCTGTCATCAATAGCTTAATCAATAGATAATTAAATGTGATTACTATTAGTTAATTACTAGATGTTTCATACAGTATATATGAGATTTTTCTATATTATGATGAGACCAGTAAAATAAGTAAGCATGTGCTATAGATTCTTTTATTTATTGCGTTATTAGCCTCAGATGGCAACAGCCAGCTCTGTGAGAGAGGTGTGTCCCTCAGATGAGAGCTATCCTAATAAACTTTGCACAGGAAGTTACCTTAGACCGACCAAATAACTTGAAACCACCCGGAATGCCATTCAAAACAGACCTAAATGTGGTGGAAGATGTGTAGCTAACTCCTATACCAGAGAAAATAGCATCGTTTAGATACCATAACATCTCTTCTGTCCTGAAACACTCAGTTCACAGTAAGTGTGGACCAGCAGTGTAACTTATGAGCAGGTGACCGCCTGAGATTGATAGAGGCCGCCTCCTTGGATGAACAACATTCTCCCTGGTGAATATGACATGGAGGGGTTGAATCATACACACTGACTTCCAGTGTTGATAATGACTATTTAAAAGCCTTGTTGGTATAATATTGATATTTATTTTCCTACTATATTATTTAAGTTGTAATTTTATGATGTTGCTGTAGTTTTAGTTAGGTTACAGATATACAATTTTAATGTGCAGTTTGGTCATAGCTCCTATTTCAATGGGGGCTCATGATCAAATACTATAGGATCTGCCACTCTCCACATTGTCCGCTCTGTTGACTGAATAGGACCCATGTTATGACTCTGTGCTGGACATAGGGGAACTAGTTGGTCATTCAAGTCAGGTGATCTTCTTTAGGAGTGTGATATGGGACTGTCACTTAAACAACCCATATTGCAAACATTGTCACTTATGTACTGGTGCAAGGGGACTCTGTTGGGGACTTTGTGTGTATTTTCCAAGCATAATTGATTATGTTATAAAGGTGGAGAGAAATTGTGGTCAAGCCATTCATTGTACATTTAACAGCTAAACTTGAAGACCGAACTGCAAAGCATTTGCTGGATCTATTCTTAATATCATGCAAACTAATGTTTCTCTCAGAAAGGTTACCCTGGTGACATTAATCCATAAGTGCTTCAATAAAGGGAGGTTAATTCAAGAGACTTTTCACATTGCACATGCCTGGATGAAGGAGATGTGCAAAAGGGGAAAATAATGTTAGAGAGATCTGATGGTTTTACAATACCAAATCATTTGAAATGTTAAGAACTCACAAACCTATGCAATAATCTCTCATATGGAGGATTCACAATAACACACAACTTTGCCCTTTGTCACAAACAGTGCCAGCTGATGCTGAATGAATGTGGCAGCAGCTTATTTGCTCCCATACGCATAGTGAAGTATGCAGGCAATGCAATGTGCCCCTGGACTCCCCCTTTCTGTTGCTGTGTTTGTTGCCGTGGTTTATGTTGTATCATTTTTTGTTTTGTCTTTTTCTTGGGATACAATAATATCTTGCTTTTAGTAGCAATATAGTGTGTATTAAAAAGAAAAAGTAAGGAGAAAATCACTCAGAAATGTTAAGACTGTACTAGCAATGTAGTGTATCCTACTACTTATGTTACATATGCACTTTTCATCTCTTATGACCACTATAAAGGGGCATTGAAACATTCATCACTTGCGATGGGTTGGGACTACTTCCTTCCTGTACTGTTAATACATGTATTTATGTGTCTGTAATAGCTGGACAAATCCAGAACAGTTGCTGCTAAACAATAGCTTGCTCCCCTGTATGATGGGTTATCATTTTACATTTATTTGGATATCTATGGTGAAAACCCATTCACAGAACCTGGCATCAATCTGTATACTTGCATTTGACCATTTACCTTCTGTTTGGTACTTCTTCTGTAATTTGTACATTTCTTTGAATGTTGCTTGCAGTGAATATATTTGCCAATAGTATTCAGTTTTTTCCTCTACCTTGAGACTATGCCTATAAATTCAAGGTCTGGGTAACTTTAGAGAATGTATCTTATATTGAATGTTTGTTCTGGTGAGGATGTGCCCAAACCTAGATGGTTCAATGACATATTTTAGAATGTGTGTTTAGTTAAAGGTGCATGGTGTATGAAAGTCTGAAATAGGCAAATATGAGAATTAAATTAACAGACTTACAAGTCATATTTAGTTCTTTCGAGACATTTTGTTTATTCATTAGGCTATTTGTTGCAAGACAAGAATAGGGCGCATTTGGGTGGTAGGCCTAGTGGATTATTAGCTAAATCTATCCTTAGGGAAATTAGTGAAATGGGCAGCAGCATTTTCTGTTGATAGACCATATGTTTATCGCAGGCTGGGGACTAGGCTCCCTGAACTCTGGAACTCCATGGTACTCTTTCCCCTCAATACTTTAAATCAATTTGCCAGAATTAAAAGTACTTGGGTGATCAGTAATAATGAAATCTTAATTGTAGTGGCAGTTACTTTACTTTCAAATTCTTAGATGAAAGTTATCAGTAAGACATTTGAGAAGATTACTTGCTGAAGTTCCTAATACAGTAGCTATGTTAAGCATGATTGATCCTTGTGAATCACTTGCACTTTAATACATACCCATCTACATATATACCCATTATGTATATACATGGATGTATGGCTTTTTTCTCTGTGCTAAAAATGATGAAAGATACAAATGCATCAACTGTGTGTCTTTGCTGATTAGAAATAAACTATTATCATATCTGGCATATGGTATCAAATGTGTTGACTGCTTTCATTTGACTAACATGTAAATTTGGTACTGTTAACACATACATCTAAACTTCAAATCTGAAAACAAAGTGCAAGTATTAGCAATTATGAATATCCATAATGAATTGTACCCATGAAGAAGAAAACAGGGACAAAGAGAGCACATTCTTATGAAAATTAACTTTCTTCAACTTTAGCACAAATGAGCTGAAACTGCAAAGTGCCTGTATCATTGGAGTGCCCCAGGAAAAGAGACAGCGGTACACGAGTGGCTGCGTGGCCGCTATCTCAGTCAGAGGCAGATATAATTTCATGCCAATTTAGAAGAGTCCTGTAGGGCTTTATCATCAGCAGCACTCCAGTCCCAGGGATAGGTGATGCAGCTGCTCTGCATAGAGTGATTCCAACATGTTCTACTTTTAAAGAGACACTCACATGCAAGTCATCATCTCATTCTCTTGCACAGTGCAAGGCACTACCCCCTTTTATTATTAGTATAGATGTGTAATATCCTTAAAATAATCCAAGTGCAAGGCAGGTCCACTCCCTGGAAGAAAAATTTACTTCTCCATTAGTCCATTATTATAACACGTCATGTTTTTGCTAGGAGACAACCAGAGGAGAGGTTTTCTGGTGGGTTTGTATTTGGCCACAGGGGAGCATTCTCTTCACTGGAGAAAAATACATATTGGACATAAAGCACGTGCACTTTGTGAGATGAGTGGGCATACTGCACTTGCTTGACAAAGCCAGGGATAATGTTCAGAAGTGCAAGTCTTCTCCTCAGAAGCCAATTGCACCATGCTTTTACACAGATGCTGTACGAAGAAGACATAGATCATCTATCACTATCCTCTTGCAGCGCATCCAATTTATTCGCACTCATTTGATGTTATGAAATGTGACAGATGAAATATAATATCTCTTGTAAGATATTGCATGTAATAATTCTTCATTAACATCATTAGGCTGGCCACCACACCTGCCAAAATACCTGTACACGGTCTGTCAACAATGTGATGAGACCATTGAACAATGCTCTATTATAAATGCGGTAAGAAGATCATTCTTCTCCCTATGCATTATATATTCATTATGTCTTTCTCTTTCCCAGAAAACTTGTGACATTAATTGGCAGCGTGACAAATCAGATGTGCAGTGAAATGTGGTGTGACTGAGGAGAGCAGTGGAGGATTAAATCCAACAGGCAATCTCTCCACAATCCCTTCATTTGACTGGGGAAATACGCAGGGACGAGAACGAGAATGCGATTGAATTGAACTAAAGATAGATGCACAGAAAGCGGATGTAGGAAAGTGTGCTATAATTGAGTAATCATATATGCCTTACACCAAACTTGGGTCCCAATTCATTTAACCATGGCTAGTTATACATTGCCTAGTGAAAGTCTACAAAATCTAAAAAGGGATTACATTCGTTTTTTTCCTACAGATCTACATAACCTGCTCCACATTTTCAAAGTAAAAAAATATAGAACATTTTCTAAATGTATAAAAAACTAAAAAAGAAGATGTCTTGATTGCATATGTCTTCACACCCCAGAGTTAATACTTGGTGGAAGCACCTTTGGCAGCAATTACAGCTGTAATTCATTTTGAATAAGATTCTACCAACTCTGCACAACTCTTAGGGCAACATAATTGCTCAAGCTCAGTTTATTTGGTTCGGAATCATTAATGGACAGCAATATTCAAACCTTGTCTCTGATTTTCAATCCATTTTAATGTCAGGACTGAGACTGAACCCTTCAGGAA